ACCCCTAGGCGTTTTAATCTGCTGAGCTATTTGGCCGGCCCTTTTACTACTATTTTATGCCCCCAAACTGAGTTTAAGAACACTAAAATAGACATTTATATAATATATACACTTAAAATCCTATTAGGGGAAATACGGGCTTGCAATACTTTTTTTTTTTTTTTTGAGGTAGCGTCTTGCTACAAAACCTAGGCTGGCCTTAAACCCAGTGATCACCTCAGCCTCCCAAGTGCTGGGATTATAGACATGCACCACCATGCCCGGCTACTGTTTTTGACTCCATTTGTATGAAGCTTTTTTCTGAAATATTGTGATGAGGGTAGTAAATCGTTCCTGTTGTAGAACCTTTCTTAATTAAGTTGTTATGATTTTAATAGTTTTCATGTAAACATGAAGGTATAATTTGAGAAATTGAATTAGTAAATGATAGTCTATTTAAGGACTGTCGTGGCGCCAGAAAGAAGTTTAGCAAGTATAATACGAGATTTTGTTTCCCGAACAGCGCAGCACTCTGTAAGGAAACAGGCCTGTGTGCTATAAAACAGATAGCGCTGTGCTCGATTTCTCTGTCATCTGAAAAGCAAAACCTCTCAGAACAAGCTTGGGTCTCTCTCCCCCCTGCGCTGCTGTCGTGGCTGCTGCCTTTCTGGTTGCCTCTTCTGCCACACACTCGGCCGTGTCACTCTCCTTTTTTGCTCAAAGCTGTTTTTTCCTTGAGGTGGCCCTGACTGCAAGTTTTTGTCTTCTGTCTTTCTCAGTCGCAGAGCATGTGCACACGGAACTCTTGCCATGTGCACGTCCCCTCCCTTGCTGGTCTTGCCCATCCCCATAATCTCAGTATCACCAGCGAGTACTACCTCAGATCTTTTCATTTTCCTCTTATTTCCTGCACAGTGTAGGGGTTCCTGGGTTTGCTAACCACTTTATTCTCTTGCCTCTACCTTTTTGTGTTCTTTTGCTTTTGTTTTATAAGATTCATTCTCCAAATATTAGAGTTATTAAAAACCAAATACAGTGTGGTGATCCATAGGATTAAGTCATTAAACAAAAAGCAAAAGTTATTAATCGTGTTTATAATCAGTAAACTGTACAGAACTGTGGTAAGCTTCTCTGTACTTAAAATCTAGTTTTAAACTGTACTCCATTCACTGTTACTGTGGTACGCGCACTCTCTCAGTGTGCACAGCTGTGCTTATCCCACCATGCTCAGGTTCTGCACTTGCTCCTTCTTCCTCCGAACGCTGATTTCTGTGCTGGATGGGCCTCCCCTCTCTGCAGTTAGGTTTACTTAGATCCATTCACATATGTCATTAGGTGCATCTAGCTTTTGATAACCACTCTGTGTGTTAATTCCCCTGGCAGTGGCTGTCTGTCATTTTAATCCACTTTATTTTCTCCATATCACGTGTTGTCTCTGTCAGAAACGAGTGGCTTGCTTGCCTGTGTGCTGCTGCCTTCCCCACTGGAGTGCAGTGTTGCTAAGGGAAAAGGGCTGCTCTGCCCCTCACTGGTGCTCAGAGCATCACCTGGTGTGTGGCAGCGGCCCTGCAGTACCTGTGGATTGAGCAGAGAGCGAAGGTCTCCTTCAGACTACTTAGAGTCAAGTGTTTCTCTTTTTACTTTCAACTTATTTCTTCCCCTGCTCAGATTTAAAATGTGAAAAATTCTTTTGTCATTAGCCTGTCAGTTAACGCTAAGAGTATTACATATACTGAAATAAGCCGAAGTTTTCTGACTTCCTTTTCCTTCAAGTTGCTATGAGAAGCTTCTGTAATTTAAAGCTTGGGAGAAAATTATGGTGATTGTAGTTTGTATATTTTTATGTTTTATGACCCTTAAAATATGGACTATAATGTTATGCAACACAGGCACAGACCATGTTATAATCAGCTATTGAACATGTTTTTAAAGAGTATGAAGTTAATCATATTAATATAAGCATCTCCACATTCACAGGATGTAATCCCTGTTCATTACTACCTAATACCTCCACCAACAAAGACTAAGAATGGCAGCAAAGATAAGGAAAAGGATTCAGAGAAAGAGAAAGATTTAAAAGAAGAGTTTACAGAAGCATTACGGGATCTTAAAATTCAGTGGATGACAAAGTAGGTTTTTGAGTTGATTTTAATCCCCTAAATATTTTCTTTTCCCAACTGTAGTACGGTGTGTGAATCCATAAATTTTACTGGATACTGTTAACAGTAGAATTATAAGTGTTGGGGCCGGGGAGATGGCTCAGTAGAATAAGTGCTTCCCTAGCAAGCACAAGGGCCTGAGTTCAGGTCCTGGTTCTGCCAAAAAAGAAAAGAATTCCAAGTGTTTTTTTATAATTCTCTTTTGTGATAAGTATTACATTATTTTAGTCACATTCTAATTTGCTTCTTTCTTATTTTAATCACTTAACTCTGATTAACTCCTGAAGAGAATTCTCTTGGGGGGCATAAAAGGAAAGAAAATAACTTCCTACCTCCAAAGACAAAGATTAACCCTTCACCACCTTTCCCTGTAGTTGGACACAGAGCAGTGTGAATGATAGGTTGTCCTGGTTTCCCAGTTATCTTTTGGGTATGAGCATTTCCCGATGCCTGTTAGTGGCCTTTGGCTTTTTAAGAGAGGGTCTCACTATGCAGTTAGGCTGGGCTCAAACTCCCTATGTAGCCCTCCTGCCTCAGCCTCCCAAGTGCTATGATAACAGGAGTGCACCACCATGCCTAGCTACTTTCAGTGGCCTTTTAAAGTACTATTTTAAATGATTATGCATTTTATGGTTGTATGGATTGCAGCAACAATCTATTTAAATGGCTGTGATTAGCCTTTTTGTACATAGATTTCTTAGAACATCCATCAGCTAGTATAGTGTAATTATTGAATCAAGTATTTTTAAATCATCCTGATCTGTTTTGCCAAATTGCATCCAAGTGCAAATAGAATTCCTGTTTCCTCCAGCTATGTATGTAGTACTACAAGATGCAAAGAATGGAGTTGTTTTTGGTATTTTAAATTTCATTTCTTTAGCTGCAAAGATGGATTTTTAACCACTTAACGGTTTATTCCAGTGACACTCAGGCAGTGAATTCATTTACATTGTCATTTCAGCCAGTCAGTTTGTGTATTGAATAAATTTGATAACATTGTCTTTTTAAAAATTTCCTGTTATGTTATGTTATAAAAATTAACAAAATATATAAATTTGATCATACCACATGTAAATAATTGGATTGGTAGTGGTTAAAGTGTTATACATTGCATGATTTTTATGGATTAAATATGTTCTCTGCCCATTCTTCTGTTAGAATAGTAGATGTCTTTTTCTTATCAGTTTATCGTTGAAGACAAAAAATATTAATGCTTTCCTGTACTTGTCACTTGTCCTCTAGCTTATGTTTTGAACTTTGGCTTACTTTCGTGTGGAAGCTTATTCTGTATAGTTGACTCGGTTGCTTTTTCCACTTGTTGTGCAGTACTTCTTGCTCACTAGTTTTCTCTGATGGTCCATCAGCTGACTTTAAATGCATCTTTGAAAAAAAATAAACAAATGCATCTTTGTAGCTATGAGTATTTAGAGGGAACAGACGCCTTCTTGTTGTAAAAGGAATCCCTACTACTGAGGCAGTTCAAGTTCACCTTCTCATTGAAATGTTCTTATATTGCCACTAGAGGTCAAAGTCATGTGCCCGTCTTTGGCAGACTTTGGGCATCACAAGTGGCAGAGATGTAAAGTCTTAGAAGTAAAATTGCAGAGGTTTTCTTGCAATGTGACAGCCTGGGGAGCCCCATGATTCTGTTTTCCTATAAAACTGGAAATATATTTTTAAAAAGCAATCCTCCAAAGCCTCTGGAAAGGATTTTAATGGCACACAGCCTATGATGAGATATGCTTTCAGAAATATCTTCAAACATTTGGCAAGAAAAATGGACATATCATGGTATTTGAACCAGGACCACTGCACTGCAGGTCATGTGAGAAAGAAACTTGACTTCAGGTTCCTGTTGCCATAAGCACCCTTGTGATGAGCAGGAAGACTCTTCCTAGGACAACCCAGGACGCCTTTCCTCATCCTGCCCAGCTGCGTATCATGTGGCCAAGTTCCAGCCTAAGTGGTCAGGAAGTCGGGGCTCCCTTCTGCCCATCCTCTGCTTGGGAAGTGCTGGTAGGAGCCCTGGGGCCCCAGTGCCGAGGCTGCACCTGGCAAGGCAGGCCGAGATGTCAGGCTCCCTTCTTTCATCAGGAGTGCTGGGATCCAAACGGGTGGGCAGTACCCTGCTGCAGGGGCCCAGGCCTAGAGAGTCTTTCAGTAGACCGTAAGGAACTCTTAAATCTGTTAGTGCCTAATTTCTTGAAAGACAGAAAAGGAACTGGCTTTAGTTCCTACCAGTGATGGAGAGGTTCCCACCCAAGGGTTCCTAGGAATGGGGCACCCTTCACACACCAAGGCTAGTGTAGTATACATGCCCTAGACAGGACGGGGAAAGTAGAGACACAGTCCAAGGAAATAATGACTAAAAACTCTACATGTTTATTAAAAGACATTAATCTTCACACCCAGGGAGCTCAATTGAATGTCAAGTAAAAATGTATGGAAAGAAGCCAGATTTATCAGTTATATACTATATGCTGCAATCAGTAGTGGGCCACATATACAGTAGTGGTCTCATAAGACTATACTTGAAAAATTCCTGCTGCCTATGGCACTGATATTGTAGCAGTCATAATAGCATAGCAGAGAATTGTTCATCCGTTTCTGGCAATGCTAGTGTAAACCTCCTGCTCTACTTTTCATATAAAAGTATAAATACTATTATGCACAGTACGTATTACTAATAAGTGACCATGTTACCAGTTTGTGCATTTACTATGCTATTCTTTGTATCGTTTCAGTATGCTAGTATGTACTAAAAATGTTTCCTCTTGGTATGCCTAGTGACATGGGCAGCAGCCCCATGTATCTCATCTTTTCACATCTCTTCAGTACTCTAAAAGGCTACATGGAATGGTGCCGTATTCACTGATGTTTAAGTATACTCCCTAATGTCCACATGGTAACAAGATCACCTAAAAATGAATTTGTCATCAAGTGTCCCATCATTAATTAACAAATGATTGTATCGTGGTAAAATGGTTGAAGTTCAAAGATAGAAAAATCCTGAAAGCAATTAAAGAGCTGTTACCACTTACAAGGGAACCTCTGTAAGGGTAACAGCGGAATTTTGAGCAGGAACGGTGATAGTCAGTGATGATTATTATTCAACAGAGTCATACAACCCAGCTTTTGATTCTGAGTCCAACAGAACTTTTAAAAATGAAAGCACAGTGGACGTTATATGGATATAAAAACCAAGAGGATTTGTTGCTAGCAGACTCACCTTCCAAGAAATTCTAAGAAGTTCACCCTGAAAGCAGGTGACCTGAGAGGAATTTGGGTCTTCTTTGATAGGGAGGGGGAGAAAACACTAGTAAAATAGATTATTAAAGAATTTTAAAATGCTGCATAAATGTATATTTGTTCTTTTTTTTTCCCCCTGTATTTCAGAGAAGAGGCATTAGGCCTGCATGTTTATTTATACACATGTCTAGTATGCCATGTGAATTTAAGAGTTTGATCTGTTTCCAAAGAGCTTCACCTCTTCTGTCCATCTGCGAAAGGGGATGAATTAAAACATCCTCATTTCTTAAGCAGTTGGTGTCTCACTATAAAGAAAGGTGCTGCAAAACCAGATCCAAAGTACAAGGTCATCATGGCCAGCAACCGCCATTTGTTTTCCACAGAAAACGGCAAGTTCTTCCCAGGGCCCCCCTCGTAGTGGCTGCGACAAACCACGGAGGTTGTGAACCTCTGGATGCTCTGCCCCAACGTGGTGCTGGAGGACGGTCTGCAGAAGGGAAAGAGCCACAAAACTCAAACCTGCCCTCACTCCTGACCTTCCTTCATTTTTGCCCTGGAGGCACGGCTGGTGTGGCTTGTGGTGACAAGGATTGGACCTTAGTTGCTGCACTTGCCTAAGCTTGCCTAAGCAGGCACTTTAGTTCACTGAGCTATCTCACTGGCCCTTTTGTCGTATTTTTTAATAAGAATTCAAAGGAATGGGTGGGAACAAAAGTGTGTTGGGCTAAGAAAAGGAGCACAGATAGAGTTGTTGTAACAAATTGAGTAATTTTCTGACCTTGCTAGACGTAATAGATGGGCCAATAAAGCTCCACACTTTAGTGTCTGTGCATCTCCTGGGATTGGAACAATCGGTGCTGCTGCTTCAACGGTCAAGATGCATACCGTTGGGCTGGGGCGTGCCTCAGCGGCGTAAGGGCCTGCCTGGCAAGCTCACGGTCCTGAACTGGATCCCTGGTGCCGGGGTAAAAAAAATGTATATAGTTATGAATATTTAAAATGTAACAAACTCAAAAACTTATTACAGAAGTCTGAATGCTTATCAAAAACCATGAAGGAACAAAAGACACAGAACGTATAGATAACAAAACATAAAATGGCAAAAATAAGTCCAGATGTATCAGTATTGAAAGGAAATTCCTTTTGTAGTAATATCAAAAAGAATAAAATGTATAGGAATATGTTTAATTGCAAAATGCAAAATTTATAAAACTATAACCACAAAACGTTGTTGACAAAAATTAATATCTGAATAATGAACAAATTATCCTACATTCATAAATTAGAAAATTTAATATTATTGCATTATTTTCTGTTTTGACATGAAGATTAAGCACAGTCTCCCTCAGCAGTCATCACTGACCTTTGTGGAATTTAGCAAACGAGTTCTACAGTTCATACGGAAATGCTGGAGACCCAGAATAGTCAAGAAGTGGAGTTACAGGTTCTGATTTTACAATTTACAGCAAAGCAACAATAAGCAAGACTGTTGTGCTGGCACAAAGATAAGACATAGAAGTCCGTGGAGTCCAGAAATAAAACCATGTGTCTGTGATCACTTGATTTTTAACAAGGGCACTTGCTCAGTGAGAAAGAAACAGTGTTTCCCACAACAGTTGGCTCCATCTGTACAGGTTCCTTCCATACCTTTCAAAGGACTAGATCTAAAAGCTAAAACAGATGTAGCATATCTTTATGACCTTGGATTGAGCAAAGGCTTCTTAGGGTACTAAAAGCACAGGTAACAAGTGAAAAGGCAAATAATTTGGTTTAAATAAAAATTAAAGATTTTTGTGTCTAAATCAAAATTAAAGCATCAAGAAAGTGAAAATATTTCAAAGTATGTATCTCTAAAGGGCTTTTATCCTAAATATAGAATTATAGCATGGTAATATATATTTTCTTTCTAACCATTATATAATGGTTAGCAAAAACTAAATATACAGAACTTTTTTTAACTAAGAATTTGTACATAGTTGTATGACTTGTCTCTCAGTTAAATTATTCTTATAAAAAGTTTGAACATCAAAACCCTAGACAACTTTGTTTTTTTTTAATACTAGTTTTATAAAGCTTTGAGTATTTTAAGTGATGAGTCTCCCGGTGTATATTCACCACTTAGATGTTAATGCTGAATTATTTTTATAATAATGCGTGCAATCACTAAGAACCTACACAATTTTTCCTCTTCCTTGTTTAGGAATAAGTTATGTCTCTTCATTCAAGACCAGAGTCTTCAGAGAAGTTTATAATTTTCTTCACATAAATCTTACACGTTTTTAGACTTTCAAAATTATCCTTGCTGATTGTGTTTCTTATTCCTAATAGGATTGTGTTTTCCCTTGTTTTTAATAACTATAGTTGTTACATGTAACAGTATGTATTTTGTCTTAAACGTATCAAACTCTGAACTGGAATTATTTTCAGTTTGATTTTCTTGGTGTTTGGGGTAAGAACTTACAGTACTCTCAAACATGATAGTCCTGTCAGTGACGTGCTTGTGTTTCACATTGATGCTGTATTTTACTTGGTGAAACATACAATGTTAAATAGTAGTGAAGATAGAACTTTTCTTAAAATAGTGTTTTTCTCTTTCTTATGTACATAGGCTGGATTCTAGTGACATTTATAATGAATTGAAAGAAACCTATCCTGCTTACCTTCCACTGTATGTTGCACGGCTTCATCAGTTGGATGCTGAAAAGGTTGGAATTGTTCAGTTTTTAAATCTTAATTCATTTATCATATTCAAAGAAAGATGTGCATCCTTTCTGTTTTCTGTTCTTGCCAACTGAAAGCATGTCCTCACACTCATCTAGCAAACTATTTCCATTAATTAATATAAGAACTGACTGCCATTACAAGTCTAGTAGTAGTAATAGGATTTGTTTTGCATGTAGTCAGTAGTACATTAGTGCTTCTGTGGTCTGTGATAGAGGAGGAGTGGAGAAGAAAGCCTGCAGGAAGCAGTGGTCCTGGGCAGTTGGAAATTCAGAACCCCTGTGCAAGGGGCTCCTGGGCTTCCAGGCCACCGAACGAGGGTGCTCTGCCACCCTGCGCTTTGTGCTGCTGTCTGTGCAGCAGCCGAGGGCTGGCCGTCGTCCCCGAGAAAGCGGGCAGGGTTGGGAGTGCACTGGACTGTGTCTAGAGAAACCTCTTAAAGACTGGCAAGCGAGGAGCTGGTCACCGAGGACCCCATGGAGATCGTAGCTCGGGCCTCAAGAGGAGGACCTCATTCTCTCTCGCCTTCGTGTTTTCTGTGCTGGGTTGGGGTTTACTTCATCGGCTGGTGCTTCTGAACAGTGACGGCTGCCAGTGGTGCTGTGTCATTCACCAGCAAGTGCTTTTTTTACCTTCGGCTTTCACATGTTGTGTAGTAACAGCCAGTCACAGCTCTGAGGTCTCAGAGCATGCAGAAAAGGAGTTGCCTTTCATTTAAAAAAATGCAGTTTTTAAGGACTTTGTGTTTGATCTACTCACACTGCCGAAGGCCTACGAGGGTGCGGGTTAGCTGTGCTCACGCCTGAGCGCGAGCTCCTAGGGTGCTGCAGGCGCGGCGGTCGCACTGGGAGAGGCCCAGCCACGGGCTGCTGGCGGGCAGTGCTCACCCACGTGGCAGGGCTGCTCCCAGGGCAAAGGCAGGAGTGCGGGTGTTCTGGGCAGGGCTGACCCGCCTCTGTCCTTCCTTCTTCCCTTCCTCTCCAGGAACGAATGAAGAGGCTGAGTGAGATTGTGGAAGCTGCAAATGCTGTGATTTCTCACATAGATCAGACAGCCCTTGCAGTCTACATTGCCATGAAGACTGACCCCAGGCCAGATGCAGCTACTATAAAAAAGTACCTAACCAGTAAATAATCTTTCTTGCATCTCATTTCTTAGTTACTTATTTTAATATTAGGGACTAATGATACTGAGAATGTTTTTTTCTAATGTTCATTATATCAGCATTATTAATACTTGGGTACTTCCTCCTTAGAAATTTCAAACTGATTTTCTTTAATCTTTTAGGTTTCAGCCCAAGAAAGTAGTTTGTTCTCTCCACCATTCGGCACTGCCAAGCTGGAGGGATGGGAATAACTGTGAATAACTGAATCATCTGTGGCCACTTAGGGATTGTTGTGACAAGAGCATGACACTGTAGGAAATTATTTTTTAAAATTATTTATCAATTAGTAGCATAAAAACTGTGAAGTTTAGTTTGGGAGAGTGGACGTACGGGCACACACGCGTAATCTCAGCACTCCAAGAGGCTGAAGCAGCAGCATCACAAACTCAAACCCAGTTTGGCCAATTTAGTGAAACCCTGTCTCAAAGTAAGAAATGAAAAAAGCACTGGGATATAGCTTGGTGTGAAGACTCTGGATGTAGTCCCCAGTGCTGCCCTCGACACGCACCTAAGTTGTCATGCCTGGTAAAGTAACAGTCAGGTTAAAGCCATTTTATGGCAACTTAAGCTTTGTGAAATTCTTTTTGCAGAGGAAAGTTTGTAATTCAGACTACGAAACGAAATCACTTTCATAGTCTAAATTACAAACTCTCCCCTTTTCTCCTCCCCAAGTACTACTGCAAAAAGAGGGTGTAACTTAGTTTAGAAGTGAGTGATGTGGCTCTTCGGTCCAGGCACCGTGGACAGCCCTGAGCTTCCTTTAGCCAGGCTGCCCCTTGGTCACTGTCCCCTGCTCTGAACTTGCTCATTCTCCTGCTATCAGTTTTGCCTCTATAATTATGAGTTATTTTTTAATATAGGGGTCATTAACTTTAAGAGTTAAAAATGGTTTTTTTGGTTTGTTTTTGTTTTTTGGTTTGTTCTGTTTTTGAAGCAGGGTCTCATTTGTAATGTGGGCTGCCCTTAAAACCCACTTATATAGCCCAGGCTGGCCTCAAACTAATGGCAACCTTCTTGCCGCAGCCTCCCCAGTGCTGGGATGACAGATGTGCACTGCCATGCTCTGTGTCTTTCTTTAAAGTTATTATAAATAAGCCCTCTTTGAGCTTCTCGAAAGAACTGTAATGTTTCTTTCCTCAATTCCAGCTGTTTTAGTCAGCATTATTTTCATCACAAAATACTTGGAATGAAAACTGCTAGAACTCTTGACATTATAATAAGTCAGGCAATAAGTTTCAAGTAGATTAAAATTGATTGTTTGCTATTATTGATATTGACTCATATCTTTCAAATAACTTACAAGGGTGGCCAGTTTCTGTCGCTGTTAATGATTAGTGACAGCAGCAGCAGGAAGTGGAGCTGCCACTTGTAAGTGCTGGCTGGCTCTGGGCTTTCTCCAGACGCCCCCCCTTCTGGTTCTTGTAGCAGGGCCTGTTTTCAGCCAGCACCTGGCAGAAAGGAAGGCAGCTCAGAAAGATTCACTGAGTTGGTTCAGGTGCAGCGCCGGGAAATGGGAAGCCAGTGTTCACGGAATGTGCCGCTTGACTCCTTCACTGCTGCCTGCCTCTTACAATCAGCAAGACTCCTTTGGATCTCGAGGGAGAGCGGGAGCAAACACTCCCCACCTGCGCCCACCCTCTCCCCTCTACCGCTCCTCCTGGTACCTTGGGGGTACCTTGGGGTCGGAGCCTGCTCCTCCCGCCCTGTCCTGGCCCCGCACCCAGCCAC